CCAAGTATGAACTAACTAATATTAACTAGTGTATTGGCTCTTATGTTTTTAGCATCTTTTTTCTTTCAGTATTGAAGTTTCAACCTGGAAAAAAGGTTTGATGTTAGATGATAGAACTATTACCAGTAGGTAAGAGCCAAGGTTTCTAGAATCACTGTGGGTCAAACTCAGAATGCAGCTCACTTGTCACATTCAAAGAGCAGCAGCTGAGTTTGGAGTTGGGAGCCAGATGTTTATCAATTCAAATCCAGATAGAGTCGCAGAGCAAAAGGAGCACAGGTTCTCCAGAAGCACAGCTGACCCACTTATCCTCTGCAGTGATTGACTGCAGCTCTCCTTTTTGAGTTTCTTTCAGCCATGTTCCTTGAGTACTTGGGGGTGAGTCTGACTTCAATGTCTTTTTCTGTGAGAACTTCTTTGTCTCTCAGTGTGGGCAAGACAACACAGTCCATTGTCTAGCTCTTTTCTAGTCTTGTAGTGTCTGGGGAGTTTCCAGAGTCATGTTGATATGCATGAGTCTGCTGCATGTTCTGACCTTGGCAGTCAGCCTCTCTTTAGTTCTGGTTCCTAAGGAAAATAATCAGAACTGTAGTGGGGATGGTCCTGTTAAGAAGACCTCACTCTGTCTTTGGGATACATTGTTCACAAACATAGCTCAGGAGAACCTAGACGCCCTTGTCCCTTCTGGCTTAGGGATGGTAAATCGTTTGGGTGTTAATAATGCCAAGGTTGCTCAAATGTTCCTTGTGGTTCCTCTACTCCCATATATTTGTAACAAAAACCCTCTTCAAATTACTCTGTTTTGAATGGGCTGGCTATTGTATTTTGGGAAATTAGCACCACCCATGTACCATAAGAATTGTTTGCATTTGCCGGGTGCCAGTGGCTCACACCTATAATCCTAGCTACTCAGGAGGCAAAGACCAGAAGAATTGTGGTTTAAAGCCAGCCCAAGCAAATAGTTTGTGAGACCCTATCTCAAAAATATGTATCACAGAAAAAGGCTGATGGAAGGCTCAAGTGGGAGAGCACTTGCTTAGCAAGCATGAAACCCTGAGTTCACACCCCAGTAGCCCCCCCACCAAAAAAAAGTTATTTACATGCATACTTAAAGGTAGAGCACTGAAGTTTAGTTGGAAGAACCATAAAGATCAAGATCATTATTAAGGAGGACTTTTAAACTTGGAGGGCAGAGTTTGGCACTGTTAGAAAAAAGTCCTTAAGAGATTTGATATATGAATTTGGGCAGCGAGAAAGGAGTGTGCTTTGTACCACTGGATTTAGGACAGGAGAGCTGGAGGGCTAGAATGCATGCATAGCCCTGCTTAGACCCCCAGGAGACATGGTTGGGCATTAAGCCATGGATAAAGGTAGGAGGAAGCTGACATCCTATGGTACCAGTTTGGAAGGTGGAGTAAATCTTCAAGCTGACTCTACCACTGTCCTTTGGAAACTCTACCTTTTTTTCTAAAGAAGAATTTCAATTGCAGAGAAGAAATGAAAAGAAAACACATCTCTGATTGAATGGAGGTGTGGTACAAGTGTTAAAGTGCTTATTAAGCACAAGGTCCTGAGTTCAAATCCCAGTACCTCCAAAAAAAGAACATCAAAAAAACCCAAAAAAACCGATTTCATCTCACCCAGATCAGATTAGCAATCATCAAGAAAGCAAGAGACATCAATTGCTGACAAGGATGCAGGAAAAAGGACCCTTTATACACTGTTGGTGGGGATGCAAACCAGTGCAGCCTCCGTGGAGATCAGCATTGGAGGCTCCTCTGAAAATGAGAAATAGAACTACTCTACGACCTTGCTGTACCACTCCTGGGCACATATCCTAATGAACATCAGTCAGCATACAATCTAAACACCTGCACACCCGTGTTTCTAGCAGCACTATTCACAGTAGCCAAACTATGGAATCAGCATAGTTTGCTGATAAACTAATAAGTGGATAAAGAAAATGTGGTATGTATATATAGTGGAGTATTATTCATCTATAAAGAAGAAGGAAATCATGTCATTTTCAGGAAAATGGATGGAACTGCAGCTCATGTTAAGTGAAATAAGCCAGATTCAGAAAGACAAATATCACTTGTTTTCTCTCCTATGCAGAATTTAGACTTAAAAAAATGAATAGCAAGAATATAAAAAGGTGGATTGTTTGGGAGTGGGTACCAATAGGAGAGAGGGTGAGAGGAGAGGGTTAAGGGGAAGGGAATATGATTACTTTATATATATTTATGAAAATAAAATAATGCTAAAATTATTTAAAAAGGGATAAGAAAAAGCTGGGGTGTGAGCACCTGCCCCACAGGAGTGAGGCCCTGAGTTCAACCCCCAGTACTGCCCAAAATTAAATAAAAAAAATGGGATGCGAAAGAGAAGCAGAGGGAGTGAATTTGATCAAAACACGTGACATGCATGGATTGAAATATTACAATGAAACCACTTTGTGTAATTAATATGTGCTAATAAAAATAAAAATAAATATTATTGAGAAAAAATTTCTATGTCTAGGTCCCATCTCAGCTCAATTAGACAAGATTGGGCATTCAGGGTGGATGGCCATGGATTCTTTTTTTTTTTTTTTTTTATTCATATGTGCATACAAGGCTTGGGTCATTTCTCCCCCCTGCCCCCACCCCCTCCCTTACCACCCACTCTGCTCCCTCCCTCTCCTCCCCCCAATACCCAGCAGAAACTATTTTTGCCCTTATTTCTAATTTTGTTGTAGAGAGAGTATAAGCAATAACAGGAAGGGACAAGGGTTTTTGCTGGTTGAGATAAGGATAGCTATACAGGGCATTGACTCACATTGATTTCCTGTGCGTGGGTGTTACCTTCTAGGTTAATTCTTTTTGATCTAACCTTTTCTCTAGTACCTGGTCCCCTTTTCCTATTGGCCTCAGTTGCTTTTAAGGTATCTGCTTTAGTTTCTCTGTGTTAGGGACAACAAATGCTAGCTAGTTTTTTAGGTGTCTTACCTATCCTCACCCCTCCCTGTGTGCTCTCGCTTTTATCATGTGCTCATAGTCTAATCCCATTGTTGTGTTTGCCCTTGATCTAATGTCCACATATGAGACATTAAGATCAATTAAGTTATAGTCTCTGGTAGTGGAGCCTGGAACCAGTATTTGAATTAAAAGGCTCTTAGGCAATTCTAAATGCAGCACAGTTGGAAATCTACAGTTTTTTTTTTTTTTTTTGCAGTATTAGGGGGTTGATCTCAGGGCCTTGTGTTTGTTAGGATGCTTTACCACTTGAACCACTCTGCTAGCTCTTTTTGCATTGGTTTTTATTATTTTTATTACTATTTGCAGTGTGTGTGTGTGTGTGTGTGTGTGTGTGTGTGTGTGTGTGTGTGTGTGTGTGTGTGTGTGTGTGTGTGTGTGTACTGGGGTTTGAACTCAGGGCCTACAACTTTAGCCACTCCATTGGCCCTTTTTTTTTTTTTTTTTTTTTTTTGTGATGGCTTTTTTTGAGATAGGGCCTCTCAAACTATTTTCCAGAGCTGGCTTTGAACTGTGATTCTCCTGATCTCTGCCTCCTGAGTAGCTAGGATTACAGGCATGAGCCACTGGTGCCTGGCAGAATGGAAATTACCTTAAAGTGGATGGAAGAGGGGAGGGGCTGTGGAAAAGGAGATGGGGATAGATCTTAAGAAGAATGCTATTGAAATGAGGGGGCCCAGGTTTACCATAGCAAATAGAAATAAGCAGCCTTCTGTTTGCACTGTTTCAGAGTTTAACTTGGCTCGACTCATACCTTTACACTGAAGCTGTGTGAGTTCTTACTAAACAGCTGTGTAGCACAAAATCACTTGGTGTCTCTCAAGATCAGTTCTGTTCTCCTGATGAACTTCATATTTATACCAAGCCCTAGGGATAGTCACACTTTGTGGATGGACTTATATTTGATCTCAAGATCTTATCTCACCTAACAACAATATGGCACAGTGGCTCAAGTGCCACATAGAACTGTCAGACTTGTCAATGACTTCCAGATTTTATTTATGCTTTTGTGTTTTTCAGTGCTGGTGATGGAACCTAGGGCCTCACACATGCATACAGCCCTGCACCACTGAGCTACATCCCCAGCCCCTAGATTTCATGTAAAATGATATGCTTCAAATGTCCAGGTAGCTATTTTCAATCACTTATTTTTTCAAGCTTAACAAATCATTGTAGATCCTGTATTCCCTTACTTGTCTTTTCCCCTAGTCTGTATCCTTCCTGATATTAGGCCCTTCCTGCTCAGTGTAATTTTATGCTTTTATTAACATACTGATAGTTATGAACTGTGAGTTCCATTCCTTTGCTTTCACTTCACTAAAACAAGCTAGCATGACGTCATACATCTGAAGAATTGAAAAATATGTCAGCAAATGAAAAAATACTTTTATCTTGTCTTAATTTATTCACAGATGAACTGTCCATACTTGATTTTAGACTTCTATGTGTTCAAAACTTCTAATTTAGTTTCCTCCTCCTCTTTTTTTTTTGTTTTTTTGGTGGTACTGGGGTTTGAACTCAGGGTCTCATGCTTGCTAGGCAGGCGCTCTACTACTTGAGCTACTCTACTAGCCCAACCTCGAGTTTCTTTTGAATGTTCCCTTGTTTGTCCAGGTGAAACCAAGAAAGAAACAGGGGGATAAATGACATGAGGTCTTTATGTTATTGAAGATAAATTTTCCCAGTGTTGTTTCAACTTAGTGACAGACATTGATTTCTATGTCTGTTCCTAGTTATTGGCAGCGAGGAACAGACACAGACATAGAGGAATGCTATGTGCCCTCTAATTTGAGGTTGAAAGAGAGATGAGTTCGTTTTTAAAAAAAAAAATCAGACAAGCCACCTGCAAGTCAGCTCTTAGTCTTTCCCAACCTGCTGTGGTACTCAGCTAGCAAAACCTTAGCTCTGACTAAGTCAAGTCATCTACCCAAGTTGCTAAGCACAGCTCTGCAAATGGTGCCTACTGTCCATTCATGGTCACCAACCTCATGAATGGTTGGTCAGGTGGGACCCGCAGGTGGAGAAGGCCCAGCGTCTCCCATCTGCAGTGCAGATCTTCAGAATGGCATGGACGATGCTGGCATAGGATAGCAGGATGAGCATGAAGCAACTGGCGGCCACTACCCCGATGTCCACAAAGGTCACCAGCTCATTGACTGTTGTGTCAGCATAGGCCAGTCTCAACACTGCAGGGATGTCACAGATAAAGTAATCTATTTGGTTGGGCCCACAGTAGGGCAGGCGGAAGGTGAGGGTGGCCTGGATAGACCCATGGATGGAGCCGGCCACCCATGCTCCAGCCACTAGGATGGTGCAGAGCCTCCTACTCATGAGCACAGGGTAGTGCAGGGGCCGGCATATTGCCAGGTACCTGTCATAGGCCATCAAGGTGTAGAGGAAGCACTGGGTACTGCCCAGGAAGTGAAAGAAATATAATTGAGCCACACAGCCTCCAAAAGGGAGAGCCTTGCTGGCAGGAGTGAAGTTTAACATAATTCGAGGAACAATGACCGAGGACAGCCACATGTCTAGGAATGAGAGCACGCCTAGGAGAATGTACATGGGACGGGTGTGGAGCTTGGGGTCAGCGCACACGGTGAGTAGGATGAGCAGGTTCCCGAGCTGAGTCAGGATGTAAATGAAGAAGAAGACCAGGAAGAGGAGGGTTCTTAGATTCGGGGGGTGAGACAAGCCCAGGAGAATGAAATCTGTCACCACAGTGTCCAGAGATGTGTTTGCATTCCTTCTCATGTCTTTCTGCAGTCTGCTTGAACAATGGTGCCGTCACACAAAGGAGATACACCACAGTGAGGAGGTAACAGAATATCTTTGGCGATTTAATGCTAGCAGTAATAAGATAAATAGAATTGCATAAAAATTTTGTTTTAAAAGTAGAGATGGTGTCACCATTAGTGATTTGCTTTGTGTTAAAGGAGAAACCCTACAGAGGTTGGAGGATTTCCTAGATGCATGGAACCTCGTGGACATTGTGAGACCCAGAGAGACAGCATTGGAACAGGGCAACCTGTGACTCACAGGAAGGGCCAATAACTCTCATCAAAAGGGATTTCAATGACAGTCTAAGAGATCCATATGGAACACACTTATAATTACTTACTATTACTGCATCTACTCTTCCTTCACTTACCTTCACTGCAAGCCTTCCATTTTGTTCTTAGCTAAAATGCCATCATCTAATCATAGCATGCAAAAATATTCATTATCTGGTCCATATTTATCACCAAACCATACCTCTTGTAATTCCTTCTTAGTGTTTGGATGCTCAGGGCTCCCAAAGAAGCGTGGTCTATTTTGTACCTGGGCACACCCTGCCTTTCACTAGAGAGTCCCCACTCTTCCTTCAGGACTTGGTTTGGAGGTCCTCACCTTCAAGTCTCATCCTGATTCTTTTTTTTTTGGAGTTTCGACTCAGGGCTCACGCTTGCTAGGCAGGTGATTTACCAGTTGAGCCACTCTGCCAGCCCCTCATCCTGACTCTTGAAGACAAGCTTTAGACTTCTTAGAGCATGTATCCCGTTACACTCCATTCTCTAATCTCTTACTTATCTCCTCCATTTCTTACTCATCACCTCAGTAGCACAGTAAACACAATTGCTTTCCGAGTGGCTGTATGGATGTCGTGGAATCCTACTGATCTGATACAGCTCTCTGAGTGGTCTTGTCAAACCTTTGTACCCACCTGGCTGGGACGTCTAGGGCAAGGGACCATCTTGTCCATTATGCAATACAGGTTTAATTTCTTTATAACAAATTCCAAGGATAGCTCATGCCTTTATTGCTTCAAGTTATCATTTAGATTTACTGATTGGTTTATGTGACCCATGCTGATTTGGGATTGGATTTTTTAAAACATGAAATTAACACATGAATTATTATTATTTTTAAATAAAATATTGATTGACTAGATTTTGGTATGTTTATAATGTAATATAATACATTAATATTCTAGTGTAATATATATCTATATACACATATATATCTCAGTCTATCGTACAGCAACTTTCTCTAAAGATCTTTAAAGATTTCAAGTACCTGAACCAAATGACAGGAAAACTAGAAGAATGAAATGTGTTTATTTCATACCCTCTGTTGAATGGTGCTGTATCACTTGAGCCCTTCTACCAGCCCTGTTTTCTGTTTGGTATTTTCAGAATAGGGTCTCTAGAACTGTTTGTCCAGGGCTGGCTTCGAACTGTGATCCTCATGATCTCTGTCTCCTGAGTAGCTAGGACTACAGATGTGAGCCACCACCTGGCCTGAATAGGGTATTTGACAGGTTTTCCTCCCACACTCACATTTGAGATGCATTTAACCATAAAGTGCTTTTGTAATTTTATGGCTATTTTCAGAGCAATTAAAATTGTAATTATTATTAATTAATTATAAATAGCATGAATATGCCTATATTCAACCATCTCTCCAAATAGATTTTATCTTTATTATTCTCTAAAGTTAGCTTTTTTCCTATAAGATAGCTTAATTCATTAAAATTTTAGACTTAATAATAATAACAGTGAATATACCTGACTCTTCAGGGTCTTCAGGAAATATTAAACACACTCTTTACCAACAAAGAGAGAAGTACCAGAGTTTTACTGCCTATTTCAGGAGGACATCTTGATTTATTTGAAAATGGATGAGAAGACTAGTCCTTATTTCTTTGGCTAGAATATAAAAAAATATAGAAATATAAAAAAGATAGGAAGATAGTTGGGATTAAAATTATGCATAAACTATACTAAGCCAAAGTACTTTGTTGATACAAATGTGTAATGCCTGTGTGATTTCCACCTAGGCCAATGGTGTACTTATGAAATGTTTTATGAAAATCAATTTTTTTTTGGTGGAGCTGGGGTTTAAACCAAGGGTTTTGTGCTTATAAAGCAGACACTACTATTTGATCCACATCTCCAGTACATTTTACTCTGGTTATTTTTGGGGATGGGGTCTTATGAACAATATTTGTCTGGGCTGATCTGGAACCAAGATCCTCCTAATCTCAGCCTCCCAGGTTGCTAGGATTACAGGCATGAATCACTGGTGCCAGCTGAAAATCAATTCTGATATGTCAAATCAGATAGAACTGTACCACTGAGGCAATTTAGAGAATTCCCCAAATGTGTATTTTCATGTAGTGAACAGTATCTCCCTAATTTGACTGTTTAGCCATCCTGACTTTCCTCTGGTTATTTTACATAAGTCTGGTTTTATTTATCTCAGGTGCCCTGTTGGAAGAAAGTTCTTTTTACCTCTTAGGTTCTGGGTACCTTGCCTGCTAGGACCCAGATGGTGGGTTTAAGGATAGTCTACAGACTTGCAAAGAATCGTGGCTTAAATATGGGGTGTGGTGTTCAGGGGCTGCAGAGGAAGACTCTAGATTTCCAGGAGGTGAATTTTTTGAGAAGTAGAGCGCATCAGCAGAAGGACTAGACTCTTGATGAGAAAGGAGGAGGTATGAGGTCTGTCCCAGTGTCCTGTTCCTCCTCCTCCATCCTCTAGCTTTGCATGCCATTTTGTTTGAGCTCTATTCCTCTTTTTTTTTTTTTTCCCTTGTGTCTCTGGGTGGACAAAAATCACCAATCTATTCCTCTTTTTTAGCTTTTGAAACTTTCAGAAAATTGAAAACAATTTTAGTTTATCAACCCTCGCTAATTAGATAATTAAAATATCCTAAGGTTTCCCCAAAACTAGACTATATTTGAGGTTGTTAAAATTATCTTGTAAAATGATTGGAATTTAAATAATCAAAGCGCATAGACACACCAAAAGGTTAAAATTCAACACAAAAAGCATCTGAAAATAAAATCCCAGTGACATCAGAGAGTAAAACACACATTTTTGGAAAACAATGATCTTGGCAACTCCAATGAGAGGCTGGTGGAGTGTGTGTGAAAGAGTGGCACTGAGAATGTAAGGACTGAGAGGGACAAGGACATCTTGGAGGGGCCCCTTTGGTGTCTTGGGACTACAGAGCGGGCTGTGTTCTGTCTGCCCTGTCCCAGGTCAGCTTACTTTGATATAAGCACATCTTCTGCTGTGCATTTCCATTTAGAGGGCTCTGAGGAGGGCAGGTTTCCCCCCAGCAACTTGAAACTTGGCTTGGATTTCTACAGTGACTTCTGGGATCTGGGATACTAGGAAACAGGAAAGTCAGAAGATGGGGAATGAAGAGTGTCTCAGTGCTGTTTTGAACATGCTAGGACTCCTGTTTATCCTTGGGACAAGACTCAGTCAAAGCCCATTTTCTGGAAAGGAGATTTACCTTCTGTTATTTTTCATTCAGTTAGACATTTGGTAGAGCAAGGACAGAGCAGAGGAAGGTAGAGTATGGGGGCAGTCTCGATGTAGTTTATCTAATGCATAGAGTAGATTCTTGTCCTTTCCCAAAGGTTAAATGAAAACAAGCTTGCCTTAGGAAGGCTGCAGGTGCCTCTTCACTGGAGAAGGGGAGGTGTCTTTGGTCTAGATTTGGGTTTGTACAGTGAATGGAGCATCTTCCTTTTGACCCCTCTGACTTTATCATTGCCCAACTCTGCTCTTCATCACTACCTTAGTGAGGAGAGAAAATGAAAAGAAAGAAGTACTATGATTTTTTGAGCCATTTTTTCAACACAAAAGAAAGTTCCCCAAGTTTGTAAAGAAGGGACTTAATTCCAGCAGCTTGGGAAAGAGAAAGAAAATGGACAAAGACTAACTAAATTAATGTTTGGACAGCATAACAGTCTTCAAGTTCCAAACTCATTTGCAGCCTTGTTTTGAACGCAGTGGATTTCGGTACTGTTCTTTTCCCTGACTCACACACAGAGCTGCACAATTGTGGAGAAGGCTGGGTGCTCCCAAGTGATGAGCGATGCCCCTCAGAGGCTCACAGAGGCCGGTCGTACAGGGCTCCATGTCCATATTGGAAAGACTCAAGCATTCTTTTAGGAGTGTGGTGGGCAGGTAAGTGGTCAGAATCTCTGACTGTGCCTGGCTTGACGAGTGTGACTTCTACATATCCTGACACATTTTATACCAGTTTTCATCAGTTGTTGCTCTATAGCTCTCATTAAAAGAAAAAAAAAAGGCGCTGTCAAGAAATTTGAAAAACATTCTAACCTCAAGGGGAGGCCTACTCCAAGCTATTTCCCTTGTGAGAACTCCCTCCCCAAATCCTCATTATTTTGTTTTGAGAGAGAAGATGAGGCTTCTGGGAGATCCCTAGAGAGGAGTTGTGGGGAGTGATCTCTTCAGTACAGTTCAGGATGACCTCAAATTTCTTATTGGTTTTCCTTCCCCAGTGCTCATCGAGATTCCTGTACCATCAACCCTGCTTTCTGTCCAGACATTGCTGGCTCAGGGGAGTCTCTCTTGACCTTCCTCCTCCTCTATTTTATTCTTCTCAGTAGCACTTAACACTATCTGACCAGTACTCAATTGTGTGTTTATCATTTGTCTCCCTTCCTTAGAATGGAGGCTCCATGAGGGAGGGACTTTTGCTCACTATTGTAGGTTCTCAATAAATATTGTTTTTTTGGGACCCTGGGGTTGAACTCAGGGCTATCTGCTTGCTGGGCAGGTGCTGTACCACTTGATCCTCACCCCCGCACAGCTGTAAGTCATTTTTTAGATAGATTCTTCCATTTTTGCCTGGGTCCAGCCTCACTCAGACTGTGATCCTCCTACCTACACCTCCCTTGTAGCTGGGACTACAGACACATGCCACCATGCCCAGATTATTTATTGAGATGGAATTTCGCTAACTTTTTGCTTGGACTGGCTTCTAACCACAGTCCTCCCATTTCTGCCTCCTGCTCAGCTGGGGATTACAATTGTGTAACGTTACTCCTGGCTTGTTTATTGAGATAGTGTCTCACTAACTTTTTGCCCTGGATGGTCTTAATCTGAGATCCTCCTGATCTCAGCCTCCTGAGTAGTTAGGACTACAGATATGACCCATAGTGCCTGGCCTCAATAAATACTTTTGAATGAACTAATAGGGGAAACTGCCATGCATATTAAATGTTGTGGGTATAAAAAAAACTGTGGCTTCAAATATGAACGTCACATTCAAAGTTACCTGGAGTACGTTTGATATAGAATTGATTCCCACATGCATCCTGAGGTCTGATAGCACATGCCAGGTAAAGTCGCTTTGGAAATCCATTTCTTTATTTTCCCAAAGTTCTTATCAGCCAAGAACACAGGGGATTTGGCTAGAAATGAGAAAAGGGGCCTGGAGTGTGTTTTAAGCGTTAGGATCTGCCACTGTAACATGATACAACTGGATGGAGATGGACTGAGTTCCTTTTTTTTTGGTGGTACTGGGACTTGAACTCAGGGCCTCAAGCTTGCTAAGCAGGAGCTCTACAACTTAAGCCATGCCTCCAGGTCTTTTTTGTTTTAGTCATTTTTCAGGTAGGCTCTTACATTTTCCCCTGGGACAGCTTTGGACCACAGTCCTGCCATTCACAGCCTCCTGGTTAGCTGGGATGACAGGAGCACATTTAGCTTTTTTATTCTGTTGACTTGGGGTCTCACGAACTGTTTGCCCAGGCTGGCCTTCAGCCTCAGTCCTCCCGATCTCTGCCTCCCAAGTAGCTGAGCCACCATGCCTGGCCAAGACTGGATGATTTCTTAAGTTCTTAAATTTTATATTACTAAGGAAGAAAATGCTTAGAGTTTGTGTGCATGTGTGTGAAGTTGCAATGCTACACCTGGTCACCAGATGTCAGCATTATCTTTATTAAATCCATGTACTAAACTGTCCTATGGAGGAAACAGAAGTAAATCTGGAGGGTTTGTGAGGGATACAAATTACTCTTAGTAATGATTCCACATGTGAAGCATCCATTAATTTAGAAAACTATGTGCCCCAAAGAGTTATCTTCATTTTGTAACACTTGGGAAATAGTTGGAAATACAGGTTCTTCCCTCCTGCCTAACTCCACTTCCACTCTTCTTCTTTTCTTCTCTTCTTTTTCTTTCTCTCAAGATCTCACATTATTACATAAAACTTCTTCAAGTGAAACAAAATATATGTATTAAAAAGATTAATAATGCTATCATTATTAATTTCAACCCTCTGAAGTGACAAATGTTAGCAGTTTCTTTTATTTTTCCATTCCCCTCTATATTCATACACACATACATGCACAGACATATATACAACATCTTCAATTTATTTATGGCTACAAACAACAACAATGACGACAACCTGTGCATGGCTCACTGACAACTGCACCTCTGCTTTTTAATTGTTTTCCTGTTTTGGGAAAAGAAACACTTAGAATGGGGAGATTGACTAGTTCTGCCTTTGTCTTGTTTTCATCCGTCTTCTCTGTTCTCTACACCCAACTTTTTTTTTTTTTTGTAGAGTTCCAAGCAGCGGTCACCAGAATCTCTTGGAGGAAACCTGTGCATCAGTCAGTACATGTTCTTAGGAAGGGATTCCTGCCAGGAATCCCAGCAGCTCCCCCAAAGCTGGAAGCTTCCCCTTCAAGAAAGGGGCTCCTCCCCTTGAGCTTCTCTGGGTTGCCGCCCCGCCCCGCAGAGGCCAGTAGCTAGGGAATTGGGGACCTAGTGCCAGGCTGGTGGTGTCCTGCTGTAGATGTGGGGTTTTTTCCTTCTTTATGGCTCCCTGATGGTGGGCGGTAAGTCTCAATAGCAAACTCTGCTGGTAGTTTTCAAAACAATATTTTGTCAGTTACATGATTGCAACTTGTGACTTTTGCAATGAAGGTTTGTTTTTTCTGATACCTGTTTGTCCTTGTGTGATCCTGTCCTGCTATTGCTGCTGCGTTACTTTGATCTTTGCTTCTAAGTCACCCAGCAACATGATTTCCTAACCATGTGGCTTCCAGGGTGCTGTCCTGGTGACGGTCACCTGTCCCCTCCCAGGCACCCAGGGAGCCGGTGTGGAGCAGCCGGCTGGGCTGACGGCGGTGGAGGGAGCCTTGGTCCAGGTGAACTGCACGTACGGGACGTCTGGGTTCAACGGGCTCTCCTGGTACCAGCAGCGCGCCGGCGGGGCGCCGGTGTTTCTCTCTTACATTGTGCTGGACGAGTTGCAAACCAGAGGTCGTTTTTCCACCTTCCTTAGTCGCTCTGACAGACACAGCCACCTCCTTCTGAGGAAGCTCCGGGTGACAGACTCTGCTTCCTACCTCTGTGCTGTGAGCGACACGGTGGCTGCGGGGCCTCTTCACCTGCACCGAAATCCCTCGTCCTCGCGGAGCCAGGGGTGTTTCCTGCTGTGCATTCGCATTGCGGAGGGGGGGTGGTCTTAAGCAAGTCCCTTTCCCCGTATTTTAAGCACTTTACTCTTAGAACAATTGAATATCTTAGACAGGCCGTTCTACCTCTTGAGCCTCTAGCATAACAATTGAATATCTTTATTACTTTCATGAGCATTAACTGGAGCATTCATCCATTTAATAAATATTTATGAACACTGTCAGTTCCCAAACATTATTGTAGGTGCTGAGGTTTCAGGAGTGGACACGAAGCACAACTCATTTCCCGGGAGACGATATTTGTTGGGGGATAGAGAGGATATAGATATGCTATTTTAGTGTATGCTTATTTTATTTTGATCATATTAAACAATCAGATTATATTTTTGCTCTTCCTTCTTTGTCCATTCCATTTTTATTAGGATATATTCAACGCACAAGGGGGATTCATTGTGACACTTCTGAATAGCCTTCCATTGTACATTGGTTAGCTCGCCCCCACCATTTTCCATCTCCACTACTCAAAGCAACTACAAGAGATTTCATTGTTCTATTTCATATACATATCCTCGTCTCCATTCACCCTCCCCCCTCCGACAAGTGCCTCTCCCCCATTGTACCTAGTTTATAGTCCTGTCTTTCATTTTTAAAGTCAGTGCTCAGAAGGGTTTCTCCATGTATCCCAGCTGTGAATAAGCTTTGCTTTGGTCAATTCAACCCTTTCTTTTACTCTCCCTTACCCTTCCCTCGCAGGCCCCCATTACTCAACAGTTTTCAGCACCTGTCCTTATATCCTCTACCTGCAGAGATGTAACTGATCCCAATATTGTCCACTCTATCATTCTCCTTTCCTTTCTCTCCTCCCCTGAGCTCCGGAGAGTAGTTTCACTGTTACAGACATGGTCTACTGTAAATGTGTATAGGATCATGTTTGTTCTTGTTCTTTCACATTTTGACATGGCTGTTTACTGGCGATACATTTTATGCCTATTGATTTTGCTGCATGCCCGTCTTTATAGAAAGAAATAAGTCTTCACAAGTATATCACAAACTTAAAAACTCACATTAAATCAAATCACTGCGCTGTGGAAGTATAGAATATATTAAGTCCACCTTGAACATGATGGTTTTTTTCTTTATTGCCCAATATTTTAAAATTACAAAATTCCGTTCTTTTGTTCAGGTTATTAAGTAAGTCTCTTTAACTCTCTCTTTTCCTCTCTCTCAGCATGTATTAATTGTCCAAAGTGGTTTCATTGTGGTATTTCCATACATGCATGCAGTGTCAAATTCACCCCGTCTGTTACTTTCTTATCCTCCTTCCTCTCTCTTTTAAACAGTTTTTAACGGGTCTCATAGTTCTATTTTCACACATGAGTATAAAGTACTTTCATTATATTCACACTCCCTTTACCCTTTCCTTTCACCCTCCCTCCTTCCGATGGATCCTCCCTTGCTTTTACACTCTCATGTCATTATTTTCTTTTCATAGGTCTAGATTCTGCATATGACAGAGAACATGTGATATTTGTCTTTCTGAATCTGGTTTTATTTTTATTTATTTATTTATTTTTGGTGGTACTGGGGCTTGAATTCAGGGCCTCACACTTGTTAGGCAGGCACTCTACCACTTGGTCACTTCACTATCCCTTTTTTTTTTTGTGTGTGAGTGTTGAGTATTTTTCAAGATAGGGTTTCTCAAACTGTTTGCCCAGGCTGGTTTCACATTGCAATCTTCCTTATCTCAGTCTCCTGAGGAGCTAGGATTGCAGGCGTGAGCCACCAGTGCCCAGTGAGTCTGGCTTATCTCACTTGCCATAATGATCTCCATTTCCATCTGTTTTACTGAAACGACATATTTTTATTCTTCTTTATGGCTGAATAATACACCACTGTGTATGTATTCTACATTTTCTTTATCCACTCATTGGTGGTTTAGCACCTATGCTGATTCAGCAGTTTGGCTCCTGTGAATACTGTTTCTGAAATCATGGGTGTGCAGCTGTCTCTACTGTAAGCTGACTTACACTCCTTGGGGTATATGCCCAGGAGTGGTGTAGCAGGATCATACAATAGTTCTACTTTTAGTTTTTGAGGAGCCTGCACACTAATTTCCATAGTGGCTGCTCTAATTTACATTCTCACCAGCAATGTGTAAGGGTTCTTGTTCTTGCATCCTGGCCAGCCCTTGTCTGATGGTCACCATTCTGATTGGGGTGACACAGAATCTCAATGATGTTTTGATTTGTATTTCCTTTATGGCTAAGGAAGTTGAATTTTTTTTTTTCTATTTATTGGCCATTCGTACTTCTTTTTTTGCAATGTTAGAGATCAAATCCAGGGTCTTTTTCTTTTCTTTTCTTTTTTTGGTGATGCTGGGATTTGAATTCAGGGCCTTGTGCTTGCTAGGCAAGTGCTCTACCACTTTAACCATACCTCCAGCCCTATACTTTTTTGAGAACTGTCAGTTCAATCATTTGTCCATTTATTAAGCACATTGTTTGTTCTTTTGGTGTTTATTTTTTGAGTTCTTTCTATATTCTAGATACTAATCTTTTATATGAATAGCTGGCAAAGATTTTCTGCCATTCTTTGGGTTATCTCTTGATTCTGGAAATTGCCTCTTTTTTGTGCAGAAGCATCCCATTTGTCAATCTTCTTGTTATTTTCTGAGCCATTGGAGTTCTGTTCAGAAAGGTGTTACATATGTCAGTATCTTCAAGGGTCTTCCGTATGTTTTTCTCTAGTAGTTTTAGGGCCTACATTTAGATCTATCCATTTCAAAATGATTTTTGTAGAGTTTGTAGATATCCACAAGTCTTCTACTTGTGGAGATCCAGTTTTCCCTACAGCATTTGTTGAAGAGACTATCTTTTCTCCAATGTATGTTATTGGTGCCTTTGTTGAAAACCAGATGGCTGCAGTTGTGTGGACTTGTTTCTGGGCCTTCTGTTCTTTCCATTAGTCTCTGTTTCTGTTTGTGTGGCAGTACCATGCTTTTTTTTTTTTTTTTTTTTTTTTTACAATGGCTCTGTAGTAGAATTTGAAGTCAGATATTGTGATACCTTCAGTATTGCTCTTGTTGCACCATATTGCTTTGGCTGCTCATGGTCTTTTATACTTCCATATAAATTTTAGGATTGATGTTTCTTTTTTCTGGGAAAAGGACATTGAGATTTTTATGGTGATTGTGTTGAATCTCTAGCATAGCCACTTTTGCAATATTAATACTGCCAATCCATGATCATGGGAGGTCTTTCCATCTACTAGTACCTCAATGTCTTTCTTCAAGGTTTTATAGTTTTCCTTGTAGAGGTCTTTCACTTCCTTAGTTATCCCTAGGGAGTTTTGTTTGAGGCTATTATGAATAGGATTGCTTTCTTGGGTTCTTTTTCATCCAGTTCATTATTGGTATGTAGAAAAGCTACTGATTTTTGTACATGGATTTTGTGTCCTGCTACCTTGTCAAAAATGTTTATCAAATCTATAAGTCTTTAGGGTCCTTTCAATATAGGATGATATCATCTGCAAATAGGGATAATTTGACTTCTCCCTTTCCTATTTGTATCCTTTTTCTTTTCCTTTATTGCTTTTGCTAAGAATTCAAGCACTATGTTGAATAAGAATGGAGAGAGTAGACTTTAGAGGAAATGGTTTCAGTTTGTTCCCATTTAATACAATACAGCCTTTATTATGTTGAGATATGTTACTTCTATTCCTAGTTTGCGCATGGCTGTTATCATGAAAATATGTTGAATTTTGTCAAAAGGTTTTTCTGAATCGATTGAGAAGATCATTTGATTCTTGTTCTTGATTCTGTTTATGTGCTGTATTATATTTATTGAATTGCATATGTAGCCTGGAATGAAACCAACTTGAGTATAGGATGTTTTAAATGTGTTGTTGAATTCAGTTTGCAAGTGTCTTATGAGAAATTCTGTATCTTGTTCATCTAGGAAATTGGTCTGCTTTTTTCTCTTTTTGTTGTGTCCTTATCCAGTGATGGTATCAGGGCAATATTGACTGCATAGACTGAGTTAGGTAGTGTTTCTTCCCTTTGTAGTTTATGGAATAATTTGAGGAGCCCTGGGGTTAGTTTATCTTTGAAGGTCTGATAGAATTCAGCAGTGAATCTATCCAGTCCTGGGCTTTTCTTTATCACCAAGGTGCTCTACCCCTTGAGCCACTCCACCAGCCCCTAGCATATACATTTTTGAAGTATTCCCTAATAAAATTTTGAAGTATTCCTCTGAATTTCATTGGTGTTTGTTGTGATATTATCTCATTTCTCATCTTTAACTTTATTAATTTGGTTTCTTTTTCCATCTTTTGGTCAGTTTGATTAAGTTTGTCAACCTTATTTATCTTTTCAAAGAACCAACTTTTTGTTTCATTGAGTCTTGGCATTGTTCTTTAATCTTCATTTCTTTAAACTCTGCCCTGATTTTTGTTATTTCTTTCCATCTATTGCTTTTCAGTTTTGTTTATTCTTGTTTTTTCTAAGAGCTTGAGGTACATAGTTATTTGAGATATCTTTGATTTTTTAAAATGAAGGCACATATAACTATAACCTCCCTCTTAGCACTGACTTTGCTGTATCCCAAAGGTTCTGATAAGTTGTGTTTTAATTTTTGTTTGATGCTAGGGATTTTTAAAATTTCCTCCCTTTTTTTTTTTTGATGATGTACTGATCATTCAAGAGTAAATTATTCAGTCTCCATGTGTTTGGATATTTTCTGTAGTTTCTCTTGTTGATTCCTAGTTTTATTACTAGGTAGTCTGATAAAATATAGGAAATAATTTCAATATTATTGAATTTGTTAAGACTTGCTTTATGTTCTAAGATACGATCTATTTTGGAGAAAGTTCTATGCATTGCTGAGACGAATGTGTATTCTGTGGCTTTTGGGTAGAATATTCTGTAGATGTCTGTTAAATCTACTTTATCCGTAGTGTCATTTTATTCTTGTTGATTTTTTTTGTCTGGATGACCTACGTATCTGAGCTTTTCTGTTCAATAGTGTTTGCTTTATGAAATTGGGTGTACTGACATT